ATTAATGTGTTATTAAAGATTTTTAACTGACAAATTTTTAGTTAAGTTTTGTGTAAGTGATTGATGGAAAGAGTTTTAAAATATGGTCTAACCACTTCTTTGATTATTGCTACTTTGATTTTTGCATCTTCAATATTAATTTTGAATATGATTCTGATTCCATCTTTCTTGGTCTCATTGTCGGGTTTTCCGTATTATTCACGAGTACTATCTACAAATCTGAATCTATTTGCTCAGATAATACGACGAAAAGTAGACATTCATTAAAATGAAAATCAATTCAACCTATCTCTATTAAGAATATCTTCAAATTTTATTTATCGATATTATCTAGAAACAAAGTCTTTTTAATTCTGAATTTTTGTCTCTTTCTCACTTCAATACTACAATTTCCTCTTTTTTATTTAAAATAAAAAAAATTTTAATCTAAAAATCGTGAAAAAAATTAAATTTTGTCTGTAAATTTTAAATAGTCCCAAAGCTTGATTTTTCTAGCAAAGACCCCATGTATTTACTCCAATATAAATATTCAATAAACATAAACATTGCAGGTATTATTAACGTTAAAGTTAAAAGTTAAATTATTAGAATTACAAATTAGTCATTTGGTGTTACATCTAACCAAATATCAAATTATTGATATTTTAAAGAACTTCAAAAAAATTCATGAATTTTACAAGTACACCTTGATAAAGTTGGCGATCAAGCTTTGAACTATTATAAACTTAAAAATTTAAAATAACAAGTGCAGACCAATCAAAATTTTGCTATCACGTAGGACCATAAAACCATTTTAAACTCAGTTTGTTTTCCGACAGATCTTTGGTGCCGTAGGAGTATAAACTGAATAAACAGAGTTGAAAATTAGTTGCCAAAAAATTATAATTTAAGAATTGACGTAAGATTATTAGTTATGATTTAAAAAATTTTAATATACTGTAGTGTTTTAAAAAGCTACGCAACAATTATATATATATTATTAAAATCGATTACATCACAAGGTCGTATTGTTCTGAGAATGAATACAGAACGTGCCATGAAATGGGCACATTAGAATAGATTGAAAAAAAAATACATACACATATAGATATAGCAAGAAAAAATTGAAAAATTACATATATCAATTTAAATTCTTTTTTTACTTTTACTTTTATTTTTTTTATTTTTAGAAAATTTAATATACTTACATTATTGAACATCTTTAAATAAGCTTTCGACAGTAACACCTGGCTAAAAAATGACTTTTGAATTATTAATTTTAATTCTTTACGTATATTGTTCAAAAAAATTCAAATGAGATGATAGATTAAATAGAGACGGCACAAATTTTTTTAAAATTTGTCTAATAAAAAAAATTCATATTTGACCAATATGGTAATTTATGTTGGGTTGTTTTTAATTTTAACTTCATCGATCTGACCAATAGAAAAAATTCATTCTCGACCAAATTTATATTGTTTTGATTATATCCAAATATAGTCAATATATTATCTACATACTGCATAAATTGCATTCTTGATATAAAAGTTCTTCTAATTGTATCAAAAAAGGCTAACCCTATCTAAATTTAACTCCTCCCCCCAAATATAGAAGCAGAACTTGAAAATAAAAATATCGAGAATTTTTTTAAAAACTTATAGTGAAGGTTTCTCAATTACTAATTGTCTTTTAATTTAATTTAATGTTTAATTAGTTCTTCATACATTTAAAATTAAAAATGTTGAAAAGCTAAAAAATTCTAATCGTGATATACAGTACAAAACTGTCTTATCAAAGATAATTGTTAAGCTTATTGAAATTAAAAATTTTCTTATTAATAATATATAAATTAAATTTAACTGAAGTTAAAATAATAAAATTCAGAATAAATTCCTTTTTATATAGTTTTTTCATAATGAAATCTAATTCTACCATCTATATTTTTACTAAATGTGAAATTTTCTTGAGTATAAAGCTTACCAGCTTCTATGTCTCCATTGTAATAAAATTTATTAATAATTGTTTCAAGTTTTTCACAATATTTTAATAAATTATCTAAACTTGGTAAGTCATAACCTTTATCATCAAAACTAATTGATATTTCCGTTTGTGATAGTTAAAAGCCAACTTTTTTGAGAATATACTATGAACTGACATTTATAGATCTGACTGTAGTACAGAATCTTTCTAATTCTTTACCATTAAATTGGAATATTTTTTGAATCTGTTGCTTATTTTGTTTGTCAATATTTTCTCCTAAACCAATTCTGCATACTTCTGGACCCTATTCATTAACCATCTTACTTAAGACTGACTTCCCGATCCCTTTATTCTAGTATTTGTGAGACAATGCATAAACTATTTCAGATTTGCTTTATTTTCCAGGTATTTGCTTAGAAAGTATAAATACTATGAAGTTTTTTTTTCGTCATGAATGGTGAGCGCACCTTTAGGCTGTCCAATTAGGTAGTCGTTATCTATTCTAAATTTAATCATCTCGCTTCCTAGTTGCCTTTCTTGATACATATACTTCATAATATTAATATTAGATAATAAATCTTCATAATTTGGTGTGTCATCCCTCTGAATTTCTCGAGCGAACTACTCTTTTTTTGTTTTTATCAACACCACTAAGATTCACAGATACCACGTTATTTTCAAAGAATTTAAAAATTGATGATGTCATATTTTTGTAAGTAACCTTAAAATACTTAGAGGTAAAAAGCGTGACAAGTAAATGTTTATTAGGTTCTTAAAATATTATAATTTATTGGTATTTTCCTTTTCGAAACTATATGATTTTTATCTAATATTAGAAACACTCGTATAGTTATTCTCGTTGGTTATTACTATTAAATTTATACCATTCAAGAAAAAAATTACAACTAAAATTGACTCAATTTGGAGTCTCATTTATATAATAAATACTTCTGTTACATCCGAACAAAAGAAAGCCTAGATGTTATTAAATAATTGTGATGTGGGCCAGACAATCCTTATTTGATATATTGCACATGATAATGTTCAATTGAACACTAGCAATTCTTTTAATAATTTCATAAAGATTAGAACAACTATTTATATAACAGTATACAATCTGCTAATTTATAGTAATCTAAATTGTTAACTATTTAAATGCATTGACTCAATATTCTCAAAAATTGAGTCATCAATAAATAAATTTCCACTATAATTTTGGTTTTATATTGACCTTCTTGGTGTCAAAATTTGGTACCCTATTTGATATCTGTGGTAGCAATTCCGAAATTTTAATGCAAATTTTATCCGAATTTTACTTTCGTACAATTGATGTTTTAAAGAAAAAATATATTACTAAAGGCAAAATTAGAATGGCTTTTTTACTATAGAGAAGAAGGTTACCGTCATTTGAAGGATGTTATAACAATGAATAAACCTGTAAACAATTACTGAATGTGACATGCGGTACAGTACATTATATCAATATGTGATACCAGAGTAAGTAACGTTAGCTTCGCCTTTTTATCACATCGGTCATCCAGATCTGCATACAAACTAATTTACATTAACGTTAACGTTAACTTTAATATTAGATTCCGCGGATTAAGGTGTATTCATTTTGATCTAATTTAATTGAATAAATCATTACCCTCTGACATAACACTTGACCGTTAATCGTGATTAACCGTGTAACTTCTAATTAGGCGACGCCAGCATAATGTTTCGAGGTTCCAAACCTTAGACGAAAGATCTGAATAAGTTGGTGTTTTCGCAATAAAAATAATCGCAATCACCAGGCGCATAAGTGCTTTAATCCAAAAAATTAACCCTGAACTTAGGTCGTTCAAATTTGTCAAGAAGATTCTAGCTATTGGTTACGTATTTATTAACTCTGAGTTTATAGACTGATAAACTAAGTCATCACAAAAATTTATTGCATTATCAGATCTTTGATAAATGTTTTTTAATAAGCACGAATTTATAAAAATAAAACAAAATAAATATAATACTGGTGTTTATTTCATGAAATAGATATCATATTACATAATACAAATATAGTTGTATAAAACCAAAAATATTGATATTTAAAAATTACTCGTGTTTTGGTAAATCAAGTTCCCATTGTTTTCTGGCCTCTCCGGACTCAGCACGGACTGGTTCATCAACTTTGAAAGCCTTGACTGTTGCATATTCTCTAGGATCTTGTGCAGCTTTAATAGCTAAAGGAGTTTCAGGTTGAAGAGCATCATCAAAATGAAAATATTGACCAGGTTTTTCTGCATCAAAATCTTCAAGAGTGAGAATTTTGCCAATACCATTGTATTGTATGGCTGAATAAAGTAATTTTTATCCTGACTGCTCGGATTAAGTTGCCACCAATCACCATTGCGAGAGAGAACAATATTTTTTCGACATTCTGGTTTATCACTTTTAGCGTTAGCATCGGATACATCTATGTACCCCCGCCCAAAATGGAAATGATCGTCGTTGTTTATATGATGTATTTGTTTTTTTAAAAAAAAATACCGTCAATTAGTATTAGGGTTAGTGTTAGGGTAAGTGTAGGGCGTTAAAA